ACATTAAAATTATAATACAACAGATATTAATATGACAAACTTGATAGTATACATTGCTTTTTTCATTTATTGCCAAGCTGCCAACCAAAATCAGGCACCTATGCCAAGAGCAGGAGGAGATATGCAACCTATGCAAGCAGGAGTAGGTATGCATCTCACCTTTTTTATCATTCTAATTTGCTCTCCAAAGAAATATACATTGCATTCTGCGTCATTCCAGGTTTTTTATTTGAGATTTCTCGTAAAACAGCGTAAGATGGGAGAAGTAATTTCAATGGTAACTGCATTGGTTCGAATACCACTGATTTTTATTTTTGTTGTGACGACAACAAGAGTTATTTTACTACTTTACTGCTTTGGCAGAAAAAATCTGAAAAAGTGGAAAACACAATTTCTTATTGTTATGGGTTGATTAGTTTAGGCGATAGTAATGACCATTACAAATCTCAAAGGTTCTCCCTTGTTCAATTAATTTTATCAGACTAACTATCGCATTAATTTCAGCTGCGGAGGTTATCACAGATTATAAAGCTGATGAGTTATGGGAAGATGGTCGATTAATAGCAACAACAAAAATAGAAGAGTGTACGTTCATTTTATACAGAATTGACTCATTAGGATCGTTTTATGTTCAGTGATTAATCATTTCGAGAACATTCATTTATAATTCTTTCAAGTCTTATCGTTAGCTTGTTTCTATTAGGGAGGAAATAAATATGCGTAATTATTTCTACACAATGATTGCAGCAATAATGATGAATTGTGGTTCAATGGAAGATGAAAAATTGTTTATTTTGGAGGAGAAACCGTTTCTATTTTTGGGAAACTCTCTTAATTTGATAAAGTGAAATCAGGAGAACTGTAAATGTACAAGTGATAAAGATTGGTGCACAAATGATAAAATAAGGAAGTTCTCTTCACCTATCAACTATTTCTCATTTATCTATTCGATGATAACTTTTAAAAGAATCCATTGTATTTTAAATATAAAAGACGATGAGATTTCTATAGAAATATCAAAAATTAAAAAAAAAAGAAGTGGAAAGGCAAAAACACTCACACGAATGATACCACCAAAAAAAAGAAAAAGAAAAAATTAGTTCTATCCATAACGCTATTTTGTCGTAATTTGATTAAATTAGCTTGCGTTAGTGTTTGATATTCAAATTCAATCCATGAGCGCATTTGTTTCGAATCACTTTCCGTTTGCGCAAATAGATTTACGGATTTACGGATATCCGAAGCTAGCATTTCTCCACTGTAAAAATACCGCTAGTAATTCCGCATTTTTTTACTTTTCAAGAAATTAGAAGGAAGTATCGGAAATGACGACGTCACGTAACGTGATACTATTTTCTCTACGTGCAAACACATTTTTGAATGATAAGAAAATATAATGCAATTCTTTATCTAAACATTTGTTATTAGAATTAAATATTCATTTACAATTGTTGTTAGAAATTCTGTTATTTTAATTATTTACTTTTAATTTTGGTATGATAAAACTATTTCTTAATTTTTATTACTTTAATTATTTAAGTCGTTATCAATTTGATAAATGTAAAGCTAATGTTAATGGACTATTAGCGCCATAGATATATAACATGATAGCGCCATGTGAAGTGAGTGAGGTCATGATCGAACATGCATATAATTCTTTCGGATAATTGAAATGACATTCATCGGATGATAGGGAATGTCCCACTGATGATAATACTACCGCCTTAATATACCAAATATATAATAATGATGAATATTATGAAAGCGTTGATTAATTAATTTGGAATATTTAATTTAGCATCAAAGGAATATCTGACATCTTTCCGGGTTCATGAAATTACGACGACACTTTTTTACGCTAAAAAGTCCCGAAATGCGCAATAGTTGTTTGTAGCATTTAAACATTTCCAGCTTGTCATTAACACAAATTAGCACAGCTTCGAAAGGAACAAACGGACATTTGCGCATCGATAAGCAACCAGAAATATACATGTGCTATCTGACGAATCAATAAATGTACGTTTGCAAATTGTTCGCTTCTCATTTGTTCGACCTAAAAAATCAATAAATCCACATTTGCATTTATTAATTTATCAAGACAGACGTTTGCGCCACCTAGAGATTCAACAAATGCATTTATCAATATTATTATAGAAATTATCATAATATTAAAATTTTGAAACATAAAAATTTCAGAGAAAAACAAAATTTGATTTCGAACATTTAAAAATAACAGATGTAGTGAGCACAGTTAAGTTGTAAAAAAGATTGACAATACATTGTTATCGTTTGAAAGTAAAACTGGATATTCAAAACCCCGCTATCACTGTCTACTGCCCCAATCAGTTCTTTTGCACTCGAAAAATGCGAAAAATAGAGCATTGATCCACTAATATCGTGAAGGATGTACACCAAGATTCCGCTGCGGATGTATAAAAAGCGCTATTATTAGATTTTCAACCATTAATGATTCCGCATTGCTCTTTCAGTGTTTAAAAAATGTTCTTAGATATTGTGTTTACCAATGAAGATTTTGTGCGCTAATGTCGATCATTCTCGACATTGCTTCAGACATGTTCATATAAATGATATACTGAATGAATAAATTTACTGTATTATAATGAATTGTAAAATTAACGTGCAGAGTATTTGCCATGACGGCAGTAACTTGCCAGATGACATTTACCTGATCATTATTATGTCATGTGAAGTGAGAGCTCGAATTCAATAATAAAGCTGATTTGAATGTTAATTTCC